GGAGAAATTTGTGTTCATCAAAGTGGCTGTGTTTGTGGGAATGATGAGAAGGTAACAGGGGACTGGGGTGAAAGGTGTTTCCTGAGTGAGTTTCCAAATGGACACTGATTTGAGGTGAAGAGAGCCCATGGAAACACAATCCTGGCTTAATCTGTGGGTCTGAGAGGTGGAATGTGAGGGATCCCTGCCTGCCAGCTCTGCTGGTCCAGGCAGAGTTGGGAACACAGCTGGACACAAGGAGAGCTCCTCCTCCACCTCATGTTTGTCCTTTCTTCTCTCTGCTCTGCTTTGCCTCCAGTTTATGGTCACAGGGACCTACTGGGTGAGACACATTGCAATTGGAGATGTGGCTGTGGGGGGATTGGATTTGAGCCCTTCTCTTGGTCTGAAATGCACCAGCACCAGGGAGCATCAGCCTGTCTATAAACACAATCTGACCTCTCAGGTTTTTACTTTAATTGTGTATGTCTTTCTCATGAGAACAGGCAGTCCAATTCTATGCAGGATAAAAGAGGGATTTTGCATCAAGCATTTTTGCCCTCGTGGTACACGTATTGTGGGCCTATGTGTTCGAGGCTATGCATGCTGCAAAAGGTAAGGCCCCGTTCCTTGGCTGAAGAAAAATTTTCCTCATTTTTTCCTCTGAAAGATTGTTTACCAATGCCTATCTTGACAACTCATGATAAATATTCTCCTGCACTGCTGCTTTGATAGAGATGCTCAAGAAGGGAGGGAATAGTTCTTCTGGATTTGATCTCCCCTCACTGGGGCTGCAGCATGTCCAGGTCAGCCAGGGTGTCCCCACTCTCCCTCAGTCCCCAGGGCCTCATTCAGGCTCTGCAGAGGAATCACCAAAGCCACCAAAACTGAAGACTTCACAGTCCATGGGCAGCACTGGGGACATGATCCAGGTGTGGCTGCATCTGCACAGCCCTGGAGCCAGGGTTGCCAGCACTGAGATAGCCCAGGCCCAACCTGGCTGCACTAAGGACTGCACCTCACCTGCCCTGAGCCTGACTCTGCTGCACCTCACCCTGGGCATTGCAGGGCAGGGGAGAGACTGGCAGGGAAAGTTACACCAGCTGATATGCTTCTCTGTTTATTCTTACAGTCGCTTTGGATGAAACCCTGTAATTCCCAAGTAGAACATGGCCCTCGCTTCTGGCTCCTGAAAATCACCTCCTGATGTTCCCATGTGCTGATGCCCCCATGTGCTGATGTCCCCTGGCCTCGGTGACTGTGCCGTGCCCAGCTGGGCTGGCAGCAGCAGTGGCAGCTGCTCCTGCTGGGTGCTGCTGGGCTGGAGCCCTGTGGTGCCAGCCCCGGTGTCTTTGGGGCAGGGGCTGCTTTTCCCACCTTGAATAAAGACGAGCACTTTGGCATTGCAGGGCTGGGCCGTGTCTGTGTGTCCTGCTGCTGCTGCAGGGCTGCTGTGCCTGCTGGCCCTGGGGCTGCCACTGCCTTGGTGGCGGCAGAAGGCCCTGGGCATGGAGCTGGGGCTGAGCAGCGCCTGTGTCCCTGGGGATGCTCCTGCCTGGCCGTGCTTTGGGGACGCTGAGCCTGGCACTGCCTGCTGGGCCAGCCTGGCTGGGCTGCCTGTGCTGGGGCTGCCCTGCAGATGCTCACTCCTGTGAAGCACAATCCATGTCCTGCTTTTTATAGGCCCAGACTTCTTTATTTTCTCACACCCTTTCTTCCCTGTCACTCACTTAGAGGTTGGTGATCATCCTTTCTCATGGGGGATCCTCAGCCGAAGTGAGGATGAGCTCAAGGGAAACACAGTCCTGCTGCTAGTGGGAAATGAGCTCCCTGGGTTTTCTGCAGGGATGTTCCATATGTCCACATCGAGCAGGACATGGCTCCTACTGGGAATCTCAAGCTACACATGTGTGTTTGTGTGTTCATTGTGCACACCCTGAGAATCCCCTCTGTTGTCTGGGCACACCTGAGACTGGCTGGAGCCCAGGCAGGGCCTTGCCCTCTGTTCTGAGTCCACCTGGGCTCTGCAGATTTCTGGGAGCTGTTTGAGCATCCCTGCAGTCCTAGGTATGCCTCTGGGCTGGGAAAGGCAGCAGATCTAGCCCAGGGTTGTCCCCATGTCCCTGGACTGCCAATTGTTCCCTGTCTCCAACATGCAGGGGAACTTTTCTGGTGGAAGTTGGGTGATGTTTATAGCGCTTGATTGGGACACACTCAGGACCCCCTCTCTGCAGCCTTCGGCAGGGATTCTCCAACATGTCTGATGCCTCCATCCCTGCACAAGGCAGGACTCTGAGGGTGGAGCAGGATTTCCCTTCCCCCCTTTTTCTCCTCCTCTCCAGCCAGGCTCCTGTGTAGTGTGCAGTGGACTCAGAAAGACATGGAGTAGGAGCCATGGTGATAGGGGCAAAGCCTCATCTCTAAAATAGCCACAGCTTTGTTCCAAGGTCCCAGCTCCAGTCCCAGCTGTGAAACCTGCAGCAGGAGCCATTCCTTAAAGCTATGGGTTGGTGAGGAACGTCTGCACAGCCAGGAGAACTCACATGTGACTCATTATCTCGGTAGAGGAAAAAAAATACGTGTATCGAAAGGCTTGACTTCTGTCTTTTTTCATCTTCATTCTGTTTATAGGAAAATTCAACATCCACAGCACAGTTTCACTGTAGTATCACTTAAATCCTCTATTTTTTCATCCATTTAATTCATTACTGTTGTGCCTGCTGCTCTCTGAACATATACATGAGGAGAGCACATGGGACAGGCTGGAGTCACTTGAGTACTTGAGATGTCCAGCCCAAGAGTTCCTTTTTCTGTTTCCCCTCTGCACTGAAGGAAAGGAGGTTTTGGGTTCCTCTTCTGACACCTCTGGGAAGGATTCCCAACCCAAGGTCTTGTGTCATCCTGCCTTGTGTAAGAACTCCTTGTGGTTCTGTGGTGTGCTGGATACATCCAGGGACACAGACTCATTGGAAACCAGCACCAACCTGCTGCTCTGGCAGAGACCAGAACCTTTTCCACTTATCTTCAGAAAACCTTCCCAGTAAACCATCAGTAATCAGAGCAGTTGGGCCCTCTTTTTCTGCGGAGGATGCAGAATGCATTCCCATGTTTTTCTTAATTGTCACCTTGTCACTGTGACTTCATATCTCAAGGTTATGCAGGGAAAAATGTTGAGGTACTGTTGAGGCACCAGGATCTAAATCTCCAGAAACTCAGGCTCTGCAATTTGGGGGCAACCAGATTGCTCTGCCAAACCCCTGGAGAGGGAGTTGCTAACTTGGGCACATGGCACAGACCCTCCTACACAGCAAGGGCACCAGAACTGGGGTTGGTGCTGGTGCCTGCACCCACCAGTTCCTGTGCCCATCCCAAGATTTCCCTGCTGGCCCCACAGCCTGGTGCCACTGTGCCACGGGTGTCACAAGAGGTGTTGCACAGGGACAACGGTGCCATTGGTTGCAACAGCCCCAGGAGGCCCCTCAGCCTCTGGCCCTGCAGCAGGGAGGGAGCAGGGCCAGCCCCAAAACCCATTAATTGACTCTGCAAGGCTGGGTCTGCACTCATAGGAATGCTGAGACCACTGGCCTTAGGAAGTGAAGGACGTGGTAAAACCTATCTGAGCTGCCAGAAAGGAGAAGATACCTGGCTTTTGCCCTGATGGGAGAAACTTATGGACTTTTTCAGGCTGTAGGCCAAGGGACCATTTGGAGAGATCATATCCTGGAGGAGCTGTACAGCCAGCCTGAGAGACCTGTTTCCCTTGAAGGTGTGCTGAGGTCTGCTGGATCTGCAGGATCAGGCACATCCAGAAGGGATGAGGGAAGGACAGAGGCTGTGGGCTGGTAGAGGAGTTGGTGCTGTGGGCCTGGGAGACGGGGGAGAACTGATCAGGGACTGCAATGCAGACCTCAGCTCAAGGGCAGATGAGAAAGATGGAGACCTTACACCACAGTGTGGAGGGAACTCCAGGATATCTGGGATGGGTTTGGTGGGAACCAAGGCCGGGCACAGCAGACAGCCCCCAGCAGAGCCATGCCCACAAAGCCATGGCTATTGGAGACAAGGGACACCCATAACCATCAGGACCAGGATAAGGATCCTGCTCCCCAGAGGGAGCATCTGCAGGGCAGCCCCAGCACAGGCAGCCCAGCCAGGCTGGCCCTGCAGGCAGTGCCAGGCTCAGCGTCCCCAAAGCACGGCCAGGCAGGAGCATCCCCAGGGACACAGGCGCTGCTCAGCCCCAGCTCCATGCCCAGGGCCTTCTGCCGCCACCAAGGCAGTGGCAGCCCCAGGGCCAGCAGGCACAGCAGCCCTGCAGCAGCAGCAGGACACACAGACACGGCCCAGCCCTGCAATGCCAAAGCGCTCGTCTTTATTCAAGGCGGGAAAAGCAGCCCCTGCCCCAAAGACACTGGGGCTGGTACCACAGGGCTCCAGCCCAGCAGCACCCAGCAGGAGCAGCTGCCACTGCTGCTGCCAGCCCAGCTGGGCACGGCACAGCCACCCAGGGCAGGGGATAAAAGGAGTTGATTTTCAGGAACCAGAAGCGATGGCCATGTCCTGTTTGGGAATTTCAGGGTTTAACCCCAAATACTGTAAGAAGACAGGAAAAAAGCACATCACCTGGGGAACTTTTCTTGCCCTTCTTTATCCCCTCCCCCTGCAATGAAAACAAGCACAGGGAGATAACTCTCATCCTACAGAGGCCAACTCCAGGTGTTACAGATACAAGGAGGAGGATCCTCACACAATTCCAGGAACAGCCTTCTCATTTGGGCAACAGAGCTGAGCTTTCTGCATTGCCAGTGAATAAACTTTGTGGTCCTAAAGGATTGTAGGGTACAACTGCTTGACCTGGGGCTAATTCAGCCCAAATCAGTGCATGTCCAAACCCAAAAAGACTTTTCCTTTCCTTTCTTGGCTTTTGCCTCAGAGCATGAACAAATGAAGATGTGAAAGAGGAGCTAGCTGAAAGACAATAATACCTTTATCCATGAGCAGGAAGAAACCATTTCCAGAACTTACGTTTTGCAGCAGTGGCTCAGTGTTGAACACACTCCGATGTATTTATAGGGGAAACGACAGCCCCCCAGAGCACAGAATCCTCCTCGCCGGATGCACTTGTCATGTTTTCCTGCTGCCAGGGAAAATCATACACAGGGAAAGAGTTAAAACAACAGCCTGGGAGAAGAGTGTGTGACTGTACTTCTCCCTCTTCCCCTCTTACCTGCAGCACCCTGGACCAACAAGACGAACAAGAGGAAGAGCAGAAACAGGATCCTCATGGCTGATGCTTCTCGCAGGACTTCAGAGTTGCAGAGTGGACACACCAAAGGTCCTGAACATTACCACACACAGAAATGTTCTAAATTGCAGAGGGACTATCACAAGTGACCTGTTCTGAATAATGGATTTTAGATGCTTTAGGATTTCCTGGGAGCAGCTGGAGAATTGCAGGCCTGTTGGGCAATTTCCATCTCCTTATTCTCTATGAATTCTCTTAAGGGACATGTGGGACAAGCAATGCCTGATTCTTCCACGAGTACCCAAATCAGAATTCAAAGACTTGTGGAAAACAAGCAGAATATTAACCCCTGGAAGCTGTGCTGCCTCAGGTCTTTTGCATCCAACACTTCTGTTTCGAGCAGAAATACATGTTTCTGCTGAGACAGAGCCAAGGGTGGAACAAGAAAGACTTTCAAATGCAGTTACCAGATGAAACGTGTTGCTGCTGCTTTTATTCTCACAATTATGCCTCTCCTTCCCCAAGAGACAAAGCAGAGTTTGCCTCTCAGGTGGTGCTCATGCCAACACTCAAGACAAAGCCAACAGTCAAACAAGAATTGGGAACTGACCTGAGTTGTGGAGTTGAGGGAAATTCATGTCCCTGGAGAGGTCCAGAACTTTGTGAAGGACGTTCCTGCCTATCACTGTGGTCAATGGAACCATAGACCCTAGGTAATGGGGAGGGGCAGAACCCTGAGTGAGCAGAATTCAGGAAAGAGAACGCAAACTCACCTGCCTGGAGAAGGTCTGGGTGTTGCGGCAGCAGCAAAGGCAAGAGGAATGGCTGTGTGCAGATGGCCTTGGGGCCAGGCAATGCTGCAGTGGCCCAAGCAGGCTGGGTTTATAGCAGTGCTGGTGGGTGGGACAGGCCCCAGGTGCTGCTGGCACAAGTGGCCTGGGCCAAGGCGGGAGGGCCCCATGGCTGTGGGGGTGCTGGGGCTGGCCCTGCTCCCTCCCTGCTGCAGGGCCAGAGGCTGAGGGGCCTCCTGGGGCTGTTGCAATCAATGGCACCGTTGTCCCCATGCAACAACTCTTGTGACACCCACGGCACAGCGGCACCGGGCTGGGCACGAGAGGGATGGGATGGACAAGAGAGGTGGGTGGGTGTTGGGAAGAGTAGAAATGAGGAAATGGTTTCCCTCCTTGTGGTCTCCCATTTTATCTCTTCCATAGTGAGAGAGGGATGTGGAAGATCTGACTGAATATTGCAACCATGCTCAGTTTTGTACATTGAGGGGAAATGTTTGCCAATCATTTCACACCAACAGCTCTTTTGGGTAGTTTGGAAATGAGATAGAGAAAACAACATTTCCTGCACTCCCTCTTGCCCTTTATTTCCCCCCATTTGCCCTTGGTGAGCCCTGAGCTCGTTTTCCACACCTCCATCAGTGTGGCTCCAGATGTTCTGGGCCAAGGAGCCCCTGGGCTGGGGGAGCAGCACTTGAGTGCAGAGGGAAAGGGAGCTTGAGGGAACAGCCCCAGAGTCAGTGCCAGGACAGGTGAGCACTGCTGAAGGGAAAGCCAAGGTAGGCAGGGATGGTCTGAATATCCCTCACCAAATCCTCCAGGTCTGGAAAGCAATGGCAGTGCAGACAGTTTTGGAGTCAGTCTCTTCTCCCTGGTAACAATTAACAGGACAAGAGGAAATGGTCTCAAATAGCACCAGGAATAGATTAGTCTGGGCATTAGTAATAATTTTATTGTTGGAAGAATGATGGTTGTTCGGGACATGCTGCCCAGAGCAGTGGTGGTGTCATCATTCCTTCAGGGAATTTAAAAGCTGAGTGCATTTGGCACTTGTGCTCAAGGTTTAGTTTTGTGTTGGCAGTCATGAGGGAATGGTTGGACTCAATATTCTAAGACATCTTTTCCAACATCAATGCTTTTATGGGTCAGATTCTTGAGAGGGAAAGTCTCCAGTGAACCAGGCAGGGTCCCCAGCTGCTCCCATATAACTGTGTATATGGACCAATACAGGTATTGAACCAGGCCTGCAATCAAATGCGTGAGGTTTGCTTTGCAGAAAGGGAGAAGCCCCTGCCTTTGATGGAGCAGAGCATTGTTACTCCAGACCACCAGGGATGGGCAGAGACAACAGGATATTCAGCTTATTCCATGTGGGTTGACAAATTTTTATATTTCTACACCAAAACGGGATCCTTTCCACATGTAGGCCAGACCAGGACTTGCATGTTTTCCTGCTGCTCCTGCTCCTCCTATCTACAGGGATGGGATGTGGAGCAGCACAGCCACAGCAGGGAGGGCTCTGGCTCTGGAACAGAACAAGGAGCAGCAGGGACAGCCCCTGTGTGTCACCATAGCTATGCCCACTCAACGGACATTGAACGAGCAGAACTCTTCACATGGAGACATGGTTGTCAGTGAAATCTGGGACATCTGGGACTGGCAGGAGCAGCACAGGGATTCTAATTCTCCAGAGGGAGAATCTGAAGGGCAGCCCCAGCACAGGCAGCCCAGCCAGGCTGGCCCAGCAGGCAGTGGCAGGCTCAGCGTCCCCAAAGCACGGCCAGGCAGGAGCATCCCCAGGGACACAGGCGCTGCTCAGCCCCAGCCCATGCCCAGGGCCTTCTGCTGTCACCAAGGCAGTGGCAGCCCCAGGGCCAGCAGGCACAGCAGCCCTGCAGCAGCAGCAGGACACACAGACACGGCCCAGCCCTGCAATGCCAAAGTGCTCGTCTTTATTCAAGGCGGGAAAAGCAGCCCCTGCCCCAAAGACACCGGGGCTGGCACCACAGGGCTCCAGCCCAGCAGCACCCAGCAGGAGCAGCTGCCACTGCTGCTGCCAGCCCAGCTGGGCACGGCACAGCCACCGAGGCCAGGGGACATCAGCACATGGGGACATCAGCACATGGGGACGTCCGCAGGTGGGGATATCAGCAGGTGATTTTCAGGAGCCAGAAGTGAATGGGATGTCCTTATCAGGAATTTCAGGGTTTAACCCCACAAACTGTGAGAAGAAAGGAAATCAGCGCATCACTAGTGTAATTTTCCCTGCCAGTCTCTCCCCTGCCCTGCAATGCCCAGGGTGAGGTGCAGCAGAGTCAGGCTCAGGGCAGGTGAGGTGCAGTCCTTAGTGCAGCCAGGTTGGGCCTGGGCTATCTCAGTGCTGGCAGCCCTGGCTCCAGGGCTGTGCAGATGCAGCAAGTTTGGAATCGTGTCCTCAGTGCTGCCCATGGACAGTGAAGGCTTCGCTCTTTGGTGGCTTTGGTGAATAGTGAGGCCCTGGCTAACCTGGGGCTCATGCAGTCCCACTCATGGCAGCCCCAAAACCCACAAGGGCTTTTCCCTTCTCATTTGGGCCTCTTTGACTCATTATAGAAACAGGGGAGATTTTATCATTTTTTGGCTTGAAATAAATTTGTAATAGATCCCTCTAGAGGAAAAGGAGAAATCTCTTTCTTCAGGCAGAGATCTGATCCTTACCTCTTGCAGCACACTTTGAGTGTTGGACATCGCTGAACAGGTTTTATGAGGGCGCGGCAACTCCCAAAAAAGGTGCAGACTCCCCCTCTGCGCCTACAGGCATTTTCATTTCCTGTTCCCATGGACAGAAGCACACACAATAATAATAATAACACCAATATTAATACATTCTGCTGATGGCTAAGAAAGGGACACGTTTGTGCCCCAGGAAATGCCTCCATCCAAAGCATCCTCCATCCCCCTCAGGTTCTCTGCTACCCCCATGTAGGGCAGGAGACTCCCAAGCAGGAGTAGCTGGGTGCAGGCTTGGAGCCTGAATTCTTCCTGACCTACAGAACAAGGCAGGATTCTGTCTCCATGGCATTTCTCCCCTCTAAATTGTTATTCATTTGGAAACACATTTGAGAAACCCCTTGGCCCTCAGTTCTCCATTATCCTCTAAACACTCCCACAAACACGGTCACATCCAGGGACACTGAATTCCCACTGCGGAGTGCTCACACTTTCCCCCATCTCCTCTCTTCCCTTCTCACCTGCAGCCCCCTGGACCAGCAGGAGGATCAGGGGGAAGAGCAGGAACAGGATCTTCATGGCTGCTGCTGCTCCCAGGTCTGCACAGAGCTGCAATGGGGACACCAAGGCAATGGGGACAGCAGGACCCCAGGTGGGGCAGAAACCTGGGCTCTATGATTCACCAAACTGCAAAGGGGTTGCTTCCCAAACAAACAGATGACATTTCCTCTCAATTTCTCTTTAAAAACTGTTCTTAGTTTTGTGCCACTCTCCCAAATTCCAGAGTGTTCATGTCTCTATTTCAGGTCTTTGGAAGCGTTTCATGTTTCATGCCTTTTGGAAATTGATTACTTCAGTTGATTTTTTAAATTCATTTTCTTGAAACTCTTCCAAAGTTCTTTCCCCAGAGAATGGGCACCAGACCTGGGGCCAATGGTTTCCCATCCATTGAAAATACATGGCCAGTGAAATGTGGGGGATAACAGAAGAAAAATTGCTACTGAAAGATATGGAACAAGCTGTCTTTCAGTCCTTCATGTTTCATGTATCAAACACGTGCCCCAAACACCCTGCCCAAGCAACTCTGCTTCACTGGGATCAAGAATATTTTCCCAGTTCAGCTTGGCAGTGCCCCTCCCCAGTTCCAGAGCATTCTCAGCATTCCTGGCAAGGATATTTCCCAGCGCCACAATTCCTGCCCGTGCCCTTTGCAGCCCTGACCCAGGGAGCAACCAGAGGGCAGGAAAATGCCCAGAAATGGGAACAGAAATCAACCTTTGCAGCTACTGAAAGCCTGAAATGATGGGAAAGATCTGTACTGCTGAGGGAAAAGACCCTCCTTACTTTCCAAGGGAAAGCCCTCATTCCCCTAGAAAAGAACATCCTGAGTTCCTCCTGCAGCATCAAGCACTACTCCAGACTATCCTGTACTTAGGAAACTTCAGTTTGAGCTTCCACATATTCTTAGACTCATGAGAAGGGTTTTGTTTTCTTTCCGAAAAAATTGCTGATGACCCCTAGGTACTTCCAGCAGTTTGTGCTTCAGGAGATGCTGCTCTGCTGGGCTTTGAGCTGTGACCCTGAGTGGGCAGAATTCAGAGAGAGACCCCACACTCACCTGCCTGGAGAAGGTCTGGCTGTTGAGGCAGCAGCAAAGGCAAGAGGAATGGGTGTGTGCAGATGGCCTTGGGGCCAGGCAATGCTGCAGTGGCCCAAGCAGGCTGGGTTTATAGCAGTGCTGGTGGGTGGGACAGGCCCCAGGTGCTGCTGGCACAAGTGGCCTGGGCCAAGGCGGGAGTGCCCCATGGCTGTGGGGGTGCTGGGGCTGGCCCTGCTCCCTCCCTGCTGCAGGGCCAGAGGCTGAGGGGCCTCCTGGGGCTGTTGCAATCAATGGCACCGTTGTCTCCATGCAACACCTCTTGTGACACCTGCGGCACAGCGGCACCGGGCTGGGCACGAGAGGGATGGGATGGGATAGGGTTGACAAGAGAGGTGGATTGGTGTTGGGGAAGAGTAGAAATGAGGAAATGGTTTCCCTCCTTTTGGTCTCCCATTTTTTCTGTTCTAAACTCAGAGTGGGATGTGGAAGATCTGACTGAATATTGCAATTGTGCTCAGCTTTATATGTGGAGAGGAACGTTTTCCCCCACATTTCGCACCAACATCTCTTTTGGGGAGTTTGGAAATGAGATGGAGAAAATAACATTTCCTGCACTCCATCTTGCCCTTTATTTCCCCCCATGTGCCCTTGGTGAGCCCTGAGCTCGTTTTCCACACCTCCATCAGTGTGGCTCCAGATGTTCTGGGCCAAGGAGCCCCTGGGCTGGGGGAGCAGCACTTGAGTGCAGAGGGAAAGGGAGCTTGAGGGAACAGCCCCAGAGTCAGTGCCAGGACAGGTGAGCACAGCTGAAGGAAACCCAAGGTGGGCAGGGATGGTCTGAACATCCCTCACCAAATCCTCCAGGCCTGGAAAGCAATGGCAGTGCAGGCAGTTTTGGAGTCAGTCTCTTCTCCCACATAACAAATCGCAGGATGAGTGGAAATGGTCTCAAATAGCAGGAGGGAAGGATTAGACTGGGCATTAGGAATAATTTCTTTGCAGGAATGGTGATGGTTCTTTGAGACCTGCTGCCCAGGGCGGTTACCATTCCTCTAGGGAATTTAAAAGCTGTGTGGATGTGGCATTTGTGATCAGCGTTTAGTATTGGGGTTGGCAGTGCTGGGGGAATGGTTGGACTCAATATTCTTAGAGGCCTATTCCAACATCAGAAATGTTAAGGGTGTGATTCTTGAAAGGGAAAGTCTCCAGTGAACCAGGCAGGATCCCCAGCTGCTCCCAAGCAACTCCTGCAGCAGCAGCAGCAGGACACACAGACACGGCCCAGCCCTGCAATGCCAAAGTGCTCGTCTTTATTCAAGGCGGGAAAAGCAGCCCCTGCCCCAAAGACACCGGGGCTGGCACCACGGTGCTCCAGCCCAGCAGCACCCAGCAGGAGCAGCTGCCACTGCTGCTGCCAGCCCAGCTGGGCACGGCACAGCCACCGAGGGCAGGGGACATCAGCACATGGGGACATCAGCACATGGGGACATCAGCACATGGGTCCACCAGCCAGAAGCAAGAGCCATGTCCTGCTTGGGAATTTCAGTGTTTCAAACCCAGTTACTGTAAGAAGAAAACAGAGAAGTACATCACCTGGTATTACTCTCCCTGCCACTCTCCCCTGTCCTGCAATGCTCAGTTGAGGTGAGGTGCAGTCCTTAGTGCAGCCAGGTTGGGCCTGGGCTATCTCAGTGCTGGCAGCCCTGGCTCCAGCTCTTTACAGACGCAGCCAGACCTGGATCATGTCCTCAGTGCTCCCCAAGGATGGGGAATATTTCAGTCCTTGGTGGTTATGGTGAGTGTAGTGGGGAGGCTCACCTGGCACTGCTGAAGCCTCAGTCAGGGCATCTCCAAACCCCTCAAGGTCTTTTAGGCCACTACCCCTAATTCTTTCTTAGGAAGACATTTGAACCAGATTACACAGGGGAAAAAGGAGGAAACTCTTTCTTCAAGGCAGGGATTGGGTCCTTACATTTTGCAGCACAGACTGTTTGCTGAACATCTTCCAATGGGTTTTGCGGGTGAGCTGCAGCCAAGGAACCTGCAGAATCCCCCTAGGCGCCTGCATCGACCTGCATTCCCTGTTTCCATAAAGAAAAGCAAACACAGCTATTACAGCAATAATCCAGGAGAGCAGGGTGTGCTTGCAGTCCTGCTGTTAGGCAGGGACTCCTCACATCCCACATCACTGTCTATTTGCCTGGGATCTCTCTATCCCAACACGGTGTCCAGTTGGAATCTCGAGAAACTCCTCTGACCCCGAGACCTTCTCATCACTCCCACAAGCCCAGTCACTTCCAGGGACCCTGAATTCCTCTTTGTGCAGACTCACACTGTCCACCATTTCCCCTCTTCCCCTCTCACCTGCAGCACCCTGGACCAACAGGAGAATCAGGGGGAAGAGCAGGAACAGGATCTTCATGGCTGCTGCCTCTCCTGGGTCTTTACAGAGCTGCAGAGGAGACATCAAGGCAGTGGGGACAGGCAGGACCCCAGATTGGGCAGGAGCCTGAGCTCTGTGGTTCACCAAACTTTAGAGGGGCTACTTGCAAGCCACAGATGATGACATTTCCACTATTTTCCTCTTTCAAAGAACTCTGTGGTTTGTGCTGTCCTGCCAACATTGGGAGGATTTTAGAGTGCCTCACTCCCTTGAAAAGCAATTACACAAGTAGATGCATATAAATTATTTTTTCCAGTCTATTACGTCTTCCACAGACCTTCCTCTAAAAACAGACTGGAGACCAAGGGGCAAGTCTTGCCAATTAAACCAAAGCACTGGGGAGTGAAATTTGGGAAAATCAGAGAAAAATATTGTCATAGAAAGTTTCAGAACTAGAGTACTTTTACTCCCTCAAGCTTCCTGGTTTAAACACATGTCCCAGACACCCTGACCAAATCCCTCTGCTGCCATGAGATCAGGGAAATCCTCCCAGATCAACTTGGCAGTGTTCATCCTCACCTCCAGAGCATTCCCAGGATTCCCAGCATGGGCATCCTGCAGCACCAACCCAGGGAGCAGCCAGAGGCCTGGGAAGTGTCTTGTGCCCAGAAATGGGAACAGAAATCAATGTATGAAATTACTGAAAGCCTGAAATGATGGGAAAGTTCTGTACGGCTGAGGGAAAAGATTCTCCTTACTTTCCAAGGGAAAGCCCTCATTTATCGAGCAAAGAAGGTCCTGGGTTCCTCCTGCAGCTTCAAGGCACTTTTCCAGAATGTCCTGTACTTAGAAAACCTCAGTTTCACCTTCCACATATTCTCAGACTCACATGAAGGCTTTTGTTGTCTTTCGCAAAAAAATTGCTGATGACCCCTAGGTACTTCCAGCAGTTTGTGCTTCAGGAGATGCTGCTCTGCTGGGTTTTGAGCTGAGACCCTGAGTGGGCAGAATACCAGGGAAAAACCCCACACTCACCTGCCTGGAGAAGGTCTGGGTGTTGAGGCAGCAGCAGAGCCAAGAGGAATGGGTGTGTGCAGATGGCCTTGGGGCCAGGCAATGCTGCAGTGGCCCAAGCAGGCTGGGTTTATAGCAGTGCTGGTGGGTGGGACAGGCCCCAGGTGCTGCTGGCACAAGTGGCCTGGGCCAAGGCGGGAGGGCCCCATGGCTGTGGGGGTGCTGGGGCTGGCCCTGCTCCCTCCCTGCTGCAGGGCCAGAGGCTGAGGGGCCTCCTGGGGCTGTTGCAATCAATGGCACCGTTGTCCCCATGCAACACCTCTTGTGACACCCGCGGCACAGCGGCACCGGGCTGGGCATGAAGAGGGATGGGATGGACAAGAGAGGTGGGTTGGTGTTGGGAAGAGTAGAAATGAGGAAATGGTTTCCCTCCTTGTGGTCTCCCATTTTATCTCTTCCATAGTGAGAGAGGGATGTGGAAGATCTGACTGAACATTGCAACCATGCTCAGTTTTGTACATTGAGGGGAAATGTTTGCCAATCATTTCACACCAACAGCTCTTTTGAGGAGTTTGGAAATGC